AGGGATCTATCGTAAATCATAGGGTTTCCTTCTTCTGGCAGCTTTAAAGAACATGAAAGACAAGAGCCTCAGGATCGGTTTCTACAACCCCCACCACAACCGCATGGTCTCTCTGTCGGAGTCCTCCGTCTACGCCTCAAGCCACCGAGCGCCTCAAGACTTCCCCTCCGGCTGGACCTGGCAGAAGTTCAAGGTAGGAGTGGAGGGTTAGGGTTTAGGGTTTAGGGTTTAGGGTTTAGGGCTTTCCGACAATTAGGGTCCCCTATTTTCGGAAACCGCCAGGTCAAGCTCTACGCGGATGCCCCTTCCAATCCCAACGATCTGCCCTGGGCCTTCTCGAACTGAGGATCTTTTGAGACTTCGAAGAGGGCTCCTAGGGGCTTTTGGGGGGGGAGGTACACCCTAGCCAAAAAGCCTCCTTTGTAGCCATGAAATTGCCTGGTTCAAATCAGCCAGAATCTGCCAGAGTCGGCACAGTTCCCTAAGGGCGGCGCAGGGAAAGACGCGAGTGCAGAGGGGTTGCCGGATTTCTGATTGCAGCGTCTTTCCCCTTCATTCTGTCTTCGCTTCACAGGTGATGCCGAAGCCCGGTCGGTCCACTTCATGAGCATCTCCAGCTGAAGGAGAGGCCTACGCTTGCAGCCGCATTGTCGACTAAGTTCGTTGTTCTAGATTCTGTATATATTCCTGTAAGACTCCTGAGGCCGTGGACTGCATTACTGTGGCAAGTCGCAGCTACAGTGATGTGTATGTGCACGTCTGTCATATTCTACAGAGCAGAACCGGCCTGTTGCTGTCGGGTGGTTTCGTAGAACAGGCAGGGCATGTTATGATGTTGCAGCTTTGCCAGCACGCCGGCACTTTCGTTTGAAAGTCGATGCCATTGCGTGGAGGAGACGCTGAGCGTCGCGGGACGGCCGACGCTAGAAGAGAGCAGGGTAGGAAGGAGGCGTGAGGCTTGCATTGGTTTCAGCCACAGTAAAGACACTCGTTCATGCTTGATTCTCTCCGGTTGCCAAAACTTTCAAACCATAAGACAAAATCCCCTTTGAGTGGCTTAGGCCAAGCGGTTCGAGGGTCTCGTGACACATTTCTGGGTGCGGCGTAGTACGCTGCACTTGGCTTTGGTCTTGCAGCTGCACAGGACTGCCACTACCATACCACGGCATCTCTACTCTCTCTATAGCCTGTTGCCTTGGCCAGCAAAAAAGCGTGCTGCTTGCGGCTGCAGTTATGCGACGTGATCTAGCACACTTGAGCTGATAGCTATGCTAACAGCATTGCGAATTTACAATCGGGCAGAGCGAACTCCAAAGATTTGCTGTATGTCTCCTATATGCTTGTACTATGGCCTTGATGGCTGCTGTTGCTCACTCTACCGTATGCTCCATGTCTCGGATCGAGCTTGCGGCACAAAGCGACCTGCAAGCAGACGACCGCTACTGAACCGGAGGCCATGTGGAAGTCGTTGCTAGTTGGGCTTCTTGCCCATGTGCTCGCGGAGGAGGAGGAGGGATCTTGCATGCTGCAGAAGAAGCAGATGCAGCACAAGTTGATAGCCAAGGACTACTGCGAGGGAACTCAAAAGGTGCTCAACTTCAACAACTTCAGCCACGGCGACGAGGTCTTTCCGGACTCGATCCCGGGTGTTACCATCGAGGCCACCCGCCGCGCCACGGAGCCCGAGCCAGGATTCCCGAAGAATTGCTCAGGGCCCTTGTTGATCTTGGATACTCGCGATCCCGACTTTCGCAGCTTTGACAAGGACTTGAGGAATTGCGAGAATTGCACCCTGATGCTCTGGTCCAAGGACGGCAACCGGAACAAGGTCAACGACTGCGGCGAGCATCCGGGCGTGATGATCAGCTTCAAGTACGAGGAGCTGCAAGATCTGATTGACATCGAGCTCTGGGATCTTGAGGAGCCCACCTTCATCGAGCTCTATGGAGCCGACGGCGAGCTGCTCAAGAACGTCTCCGCCCCGAATGGCCCGGACCAGGACGGCAACCCGGCGGTGGTCGACCTCATGGCAGAGGGTGTGAAGGAGATGATCGTCTACATGGGAGGCTCTGGAGCGGTCCGCAAGATCCGAAGTTGTGAGCCAGCACCGCCCTTTTGCCCGGGACCCCCCGGTGAGCTCACCTTCAACAGCTTCAGCCACGGCGACGAGATCCTGCCGGACTCCATCAGGGGCGTGACCATCGAGGCCACGCGCCGCGCCACGGAGCCCGAGCCAGGGTTCCCAAAAAATTGCTCAGGGCCCCTATTGATCCTGGACACTCGCGATCCCGATGGTCGCAGCTTTGACAAGGACCTGAAGAGGTGTGAGAATTGCACCCTGATGCTCTGGTCCAAGGACGGCAACCGTCGTAAGGTCAACGACTGTGGTGAACACCCGGGCGTGAAGATCAGCTTCAAGTTCAGGAAGTTGCAAAGCCTAGTTGACATCGAGCTCTGGGATTTAGAGGAGCCCACCTTTATCGAGCTTTATGGAGCCGACGGCGAGATGCTCAAGAACATCTCAGCCCCGGACGGGCCGGAACAGGACGGCAACCCGGCGATTGTCGAGTTGTTGACGGAGGGCGTGACTGGGCCAGCATTACACTGAAGATTGCACTTAGCATGTGGGGTGCAGGGTTCAGGGCGAGATGCAAAAAGTCGAGCCTGCAGTCTTTCGCAAAGCTACAGCTCCGAAGATGAATGAGGCCACACCTTACTCAGTTTTTGTTCCGTTTGTCTTAGTTTTGTGCATGTGCGTCTCAATGTGACAGAGCTTTGGCACGGAGTCCAATATCCTTAGACTTTGTTATCATGATGAACAAGCATGTCGGAGAAAGCTAGGTATATGGGGGGGCATTTTTCGATGATCTCAATGTTTGTAAAGGAACTTGTGAAAAGAGGCCCAGGGGCACTCTGAAGCTCGAAGCTCCCTGCACCTGAACTGAAGGCCTTCCAGAACCGTAAGTGTCCCTGAACCCTAAACCTTAAATCCGAAACCCTAAACCCCAAA